AAAAGCTTACATAAATATTTGCAGGTTTCAGAACAAAACAGAGGTTTTAACTGTCCTCAACACACACGCACACAAAACAATAATGCTTAAGATGATGGCTGTGCTGACTACCTTGATTTATTAGCATAGGTGGGGCACTGATTCCTGTAGATGCTAAACGGTGCAGAGCTCTGATTATACACCTGGATCAAAGCATCAGAGCATCGAGGCATCGCCTTTTATCTGGCAATCAAAAAATGGTTTTAATGTTGTCAGTTAAATAAGTGAATTAAAGTTGTAAAACAATAGGAGAAGCCACTGAAACAGAAGGTAGAAACCACCTTTGCAGCAACTACCCCTTTGAGAAGTGTTTGTTGCCCTTCTTGTTTTAGCCCTAAAAGGGGCTGCTGTTAGTTTGACTTTGAAGGTCAAGAGCCACCTAGGCAAAGCCATGCTGGTTGGAGGATGAAAGACACAGATCTCTAGGGATTGGCTTATTTGTGAAAAAGGAAGAAGGGAAAGGATGATAGTTTACACTAAAGCTAAATTCCCCTAATTATCTCAAATGCCTTTGTACAATTGTTTTATTCTGATCAGAATCCAAAGGAAACAACACATTTCATGCAGTTATAGCTTTTGATTTTCTTGCTTTAAGTATTTTATGGACTGTGAATGCACACACAGAAAGCGGTCATGCCACAAGGGTGCCTCCTCATGAGTACACACCCATGGAACCAGCTGCCAGGTCGGGAACAAGAACACAGGCAGAGCCAGAGTCTCCACCGCCCCCCTCACCCACCCAAGGAACTGCTATCCTGACCTCCCCTCGCATAGACTGCTTTACATGTTTTAAATTGTATGTAAATAGAATCACATGGCAGTATTCTTGTTGTGTCTGGCTTTCTTTATGAGATTCCTGAGTGAAGTTTACTCTCACTGTTCAGTATAATTCCAGAGCAGGGCTCCTTCGTGCTGCCAGCCTGTAACTTGCCCACCCCTGGATGCATATCTAAATAAATCTTCACCCACCAAACCAGTTTCCTGACACTCCAGACCTGGCGTATGGGGTGGGGGGACAGACCTATCAGCCTTTCTCAAATTGCTGCCCCAAGGCCAGCTGACATTCAAATCCTGGTTAGTTCAGGTGGCCCAGCTCCTCCAGCCCTTCATAGGCCCAGCCTCTCTTGGGTCCTTGTCCACCTCTGGAGACCTTAGAGGAAGCTGGGTGTATGCATTTTTTTTAATGGCTGCCATAAAACAATTACCGTAAATTCAGTAACTCAAAATATCAGAAGCTTATTCTCAAACATTTTTTACAGGCCAGAAGTTCAAAGCCAAGACAGCAGCATTGGTTCCTTCTGGAGGTCCAGAGAGAGAATCCACTCCACACCCCTCTCCTATGAATGCTATGTTATAGCATTCCTTCAGCCTCTGCCTCCTCTTCATCCAGTCCTCACCTTCATGTGCCAACCTTCCCTTCCCATTATGAGGGCAGCAGTCATTGGACTTGGGACCCATCCGACCCAGGATAATCTCATCTCAAGAGCCTTGCCTTTTTTTTTTTTCAGCTTTAATTGAGTTTATTGGTACATTTTAGGGATACAGTACAGTTGCATTCATTGTTGGGATCTTGTACCTCCACATGACAAGTCTTGATTCTCATTTTTTCCCCTTTGTCCCCGCCCTCCCTTCACCCGCTCCTCCCCTCCCCATCTATAAACACTTTATTTCCATCTTTTCATTATCTCACATTTTTTTCTTTTCCCTTATTACCCTTCCCCTACCCATCCCACCTTTAGCTCTTTCCTTCCCATTTCTAAATGTCAGTAATCTTGTTAGGATCTTATGTATTATTGCAGATTATTCACACCAGAGAAACTATTCGGTATTTACACATATGTGCCTTATTTATTTCACTTAGGAGTATATCTTCAATGTGTATCCATTTTCCTATGAATGAATCTAATTTCTCATTCTTTATGGCTGAGTAATATTCCGTTTTATAGAAAAACCACATCTTCTTTATCCAGTTTCCCACGGATGGGCAAACGGGCTGTTTCCAAGATTTAGCTATTACAAACTGTGCCGCTATAAACATGGGTGTGGATACATCACTGTGATATGATTGCCTTTTTTTTAAAAGCAGATAATTCTATTTGTGTACTTTTAAATTTTCAATTTATTACTTCCACTTTTTATTAGTATATGTGCGTCATGTACGATAAATCCATTCATCGCGGAGAAGTGATACATATACATACCATATCTTGATCCTTTTTCTTTCTCCTTCTCTTTCCTCCCTCCTGTCACTCCCATCTCCAGATCCCCTTCCCATTTCCACATAGGCCCTGTTTCCTATCATCTATCTTTTATTTTCAAGAACCTTATCTGCCCAAAATGATCTTTCTTCCCAACAAGGTCACATTCTGAAGTGCTGGCTAGACCACCTTTTAGGGAGCACAGTTCAACATACTACAGTGGGTGAGGGATTTCTTGTGTGTGAGAAACACACATACCAAGCCCCAGTAACCTAACTGATGTGTGAAAAGCCGGTTCTTCTAACTGTACCAGGTCTCAGTGTCACCCTCTTCCTGGCTCCTCAGAGCCACAGTGTGGGGCTGAGTCCTCTGAGCACCTGCCAAGTGCCAGGCTGTGAGCCAGGTGCTGTGGGCTGGGACAAGGGAAACCCAGCCGCCACCCCAAGGCAGTTTGCAGGCCAAGAGGGAAGGAAAAGCTGTCCAGGAATTGTGGTTATCCAGTAGGGTGATTTTGCCTCCAGGGAAAATATGGCCATGTACAGAGACATCTTTTTTTTTTTTTTTTTTAACTATCATGGGTAGGATGTGTTTGGTATCTAGTAGATAGAAGCCAGGGATGTTGCTAAACATCTTCCTATACAAACATCCTGCAATCCTGCAGTCCCCCTACAGCAATGAATTATCTACTCCACAATGCCACCAGTGCCTCTGTTGAAAAACCTTGCCATAAACACACACACAAACCAGAATCTTATGGATACTCAGGGCTCCAGCAGTGACTGCAGCCAGTTGACACTTCCTGTTCTGGAGGCTGATGGCCCCTTCACACCCAGAGGGCCAGGGCCACTGGCAGAGCAAGCTTTCCCACCTAGTCCCACTCTCTTCTCAGGCACAACAGAGAACTGCTTATCCCCACGTCTCTATAATGTCTGTCTGGGTCTTCTGTGTGCTGTGGGCTGGACACAGCTGCCTAGGAATAAAGACCCTGGGGAAGATGACCTAGCATCTTCATTTGACACCAGCTTGCAATAAGCAACTCAAGGCTTCCTGATGCACTCTGTGACCCTCTCCCCACCACCTAGACCCATTGGAGAAACCACTTTTTATATGATAATGTAGCTTCTGCAAAACATACCACCAGCAAAAGGAAGCTAACATCTGGGCGACTACTTTTACAGAAACATTTGGAAGCAGAGTCACATATCCTCTCTTTGATAAGTATATCTGACTGTGAATATCTAACTTCTGAAAGCAGTGGTAATTTTACCAGTCAAAAGGGAGAGATCTGTCACTCCTCATTCTTGACAGTGGGAGCATTTTGCTTTGGGGATGGTGGGAAATAAACCCAGAGGTCAGGGCTGAGTGGTCAGGGGTGCAATGGGGGAAGTTGAAAAGATTAAATTGAAACTAATATAGTAAGAAGTGTTGAAAAAGAAAAGCATTCAGGAGGGCTGGGGATTTGGCTCAGTGGTTCCACTGCCTGCCTTGCAAGTGCAAGGGCCCAAGTTCGATCCCTGGTACCAAAAAAAAAAGCATTCAGTAAAGAGAGGAAGGGGCAGGTACCATATCATGAGGGGGGTTCAGATTCACTAGCTCTACACATTGCTTCCTTTACCTTAATTTCTCTTTTGCTCTGGAGCTGGTAATCTGATTTCCATAAATGCAGCTCCCTCCATATTTGAGTCTGACTCTAGCCCTGTAGCCAGGGGTGGGAAGGGAAGATCCATTCTGACTGTGATGCCCAGCCCTCCTTCCTCAATAAACTTTTTGATATGAGAAGACATTTCTTGAATCCCACTCCCAAGTAGGCATAGTCTATACATGCTCATGTCAGTGGGGCCTGGGATTCTGGCAAAGGAGGTACCAGGCTCCTGCAAGGAGAAATGTGGCTTATACAAGTAGGGCAGGTCCTAAGTGTGACCTAAGTGACCAGTGCAAAGGAGAGGAAGTGAGGGAATTTGTTCACTCACTTACTCATTCAAAGATATGCAGACTCTTGTGGGTGTGAAGCTCTGTGCTAGATGCTTGGTGACAGCTCAGATATCAGTCAGAGCAGTGATTTAGAGAAAACCTCTGGGCAGAGATCCTGGACCTTCTCAGTCTTTCCTTCCTCCCAAGAAAGCTTGTCTGCATGTTGCATCTAATACAGTCATTCACATCTTACTATCTTATATATGCAGACACTGTACTTAAACCCAAATTTCTAATTATGGAATAAAAGGATTAGATGCCATGTTGAAAGAGTTCAAGAAGGCACAGGTCTGATGGAGAAATTTTTGACAGACAAGCAGTGCCTCTAAGCAGCTATGAACTGCTCCACACAGATGACTATCTACATCCCCTGAGACAAGGGAGCCCCAGCGACTGAGAGTTATGTAGAGAGCTCTAGATGAAAAAGTGGAAGAGACAGCAGCTGAGCTAGACTCACCCCTTTACAACACTAAGAATAGTGTATTGGTCCATTTTCCATTGCTGTAAGTGACACATCACTGTCCTGTGGCTACAAAGCCCTTGAAATCCCAGCTTGCACCAAATGATGTTCCCAGATGACACATAGCCTGCAGTTTCAAGAGCAAAAGAAAATTCCTATTCTGACAATTCCTTACCCTGTGCTTATAAACAAATTCTTCACCTCACCTTAGATTCCTATCTATAAAACTGGGCTAAAGCTTAATGTACAGTTCTAAATAAAACATCACTGTTTGATAGAGTTTAATGCAGTGCCCAGCATGTGTGCATGCATACACGCACACACACACACACACACACACACACACACACACGTATAAAATATCTCTCCTCCAGTAGGAAAGTGATGTCATTTACAGAGGACTTGTAATATGCTAGACATTGGCCCAATGCATTTCATGCCTTAACTTTAACTCTTTCAAAACCTCTGCGAGAAAAGTAGTACTAGTATTTTCATTTTATAAAAATGAAAAATAAAGTACAAGATGTTAAGTAACTCCCTCAAGATCACACAGTTAATGTAAATAACTCAAGGTCCTTTGGTCAGTGATAGGATGTAATGGTATGCTAACGATTTTAATATTTGCCTTATATTTCACTGGGGATGGGCAAGCATTTCATTCACTGTTTTGTCTTTCTTGAACATTTTTGCTGATCCCAGTTGCTTGACTATAATTCAATCTGGTTGAGCACAATTTTTATTTATCTTCTGAATACTTTCCTGAATACTTGCTTTGGTTTACTAGTCTTTGCAAATGTGTCTTTTGGGTAATATATGCAGTGTTTCAACATTTATGTTTTAATGACACATAAGGTTTTTATAGTAAGGCTAGAACTCATTTCTGGTGGATACATTCAAGAAAAAAATTATACAGCTATATCAGGCCCTGATTTAAATATTAAAAGCAGTTGATTAGAATGATGATACATTTATCACTTATGAGAAAAACTAAATATACCAGCTTGGACAGTGTGTTACTTAATGTGGATTTTTAACTGTTTTTTCTTTTAGCTTCAGCACAAAAACCCTGTATTACCCCCTGAGAGCCAGGCTGGCGGCAGATGCTGACTGTACAAAGGGCAAGTGAAGATTCCTTCAGCCTCATCCTTGATTCTGTCTCCAGGCCTCTGGTCCTGAGCATCCATGACAATGGAGGAGCTCCCCAAGGTCCTGGAAGTCGATGAGAGTTCCCCAGAATCCAAGGACCTGCTGCCCAGCCAGACTGCCAGCTCTCTGTGCATCAGCTCCAGAAGTGAGTCCGTCTGGACCACCACCCCCAAGAGCAACTGGGAGATCTATCGCAAGCCCATTGTCATCATGTCTGTGGGCAGCGCCATCCTGCTGTTTGGTGTGGTCATCACCTGCTTGGCCTATCTCCTAAATATGAATGCAAAGACCACTGCAGTCCTTAAGATGACAGGGCCCGCTTTCCTGTCTTTGGGACTGATGACAGTCGTGTGTGGGCTGGTGTGGGTGCCCATCATCAAAAAGAAGCAGAAGCAGAGGCAGAAGTCAAATTTCTTTCAGAGCCTCAAGTTCTTCCTCCTGAATCGCTGATGGTGGCTTGACCAGGAGGAGATATGATGACCAACATCTAACATCTCCACCTCGTCCATGAGGTGCCACAAAACTAATGCAAGCAAACTCTTTTCTCGGCCCACGTACCCTGGGAGTGTTGTGGTCTGAATCTCACTTGGTTTCTGTTCCACTGAGGGTTCCCTTAGATCCTTCTGTTGCTCTCATCCTGTGCTCCTAAGTCCAGTCGCCATTCATAGAACTGTCAGCCAAGTTCAGCGGATTCTAAGAAACTCCTTGAGGGTGGACTATTCTCCAAGGAGAACCTCATGTGTGTACACCTGAGTGTCTGGAATGGATGCCACATTTACATCCTTTTGAAACCAAAATGGACAAGTGGAGGTTCTTTATGGGGAGGGAAGGCTGAGCTCTCACTCAATAGGTTGGACAGCCCCAGCTCCCTGAGCCAGTGAGATATTGACTTACATTTCAAGAGACCACAGTATCAGAAGTATCAAAATTTACAAGTGTCAAACATTCCAAAAACTGAACAATGAAGGGAGGTTGGGGAAAGCACTGTCCAAGATGGCACATCTCCCTCGACATGGCCTTGGGAGTCACCCAGCAGAGGAAGCTTCATTCTAGATTATGTAGTATTTATAGCAGAAGCAATGGTAGGCTGGACAACAGGGGTTCATGCTTTCCCTTTGACCTACAAACCCCCTTCTCACGAACTGCTTTTATCTTGGCAATTAGCGAAGGATAAACACATGCAGGTCCCAACTTCCTCTTTTCCCTAACTCTACCCGTAGTCCTAGAGCAGCGAGATGGAAAGCTACGAATGGATTCTGTATGATTATTTTCCCCTTCATTTACATCAACACCCAAACTGAAAAAATCAACTCCCATAATCAAAAGGTCTGTAGGTTTCTAATAACTGGATTCTTTTTTAAAATTCTTCTGCTACTCCTGCCCTTGCCCACCAACAAGCAAATTTTTTTTTCACTGAGTTTATTGGTACTTTTTAAGTGCACAGTACAGTTACATTCATCATTGGGATCTTGTACCTTTCCACGACAGGTCTTGGTTCTCATTTTTCCCCGTACCCCTGCTTTCCCTTCACCCCCTCCACCCTCCCCTATTTACAAAGACTTTGTTTCCATTTTTTCCTTTTCTCATATTTTTTCTTTTCCCTTATTTCCTTTCTTCTACCCCTCCCACTTCCCCTACACCTTTAGCCCTTTTCTTCCTATTTCACATTGTCGGTTATACAATGTGGATCTTATTTACACTTTTAACAAATAAATACTTGTGAAGTGCCCTGCTCTTGGCCAGGTCCTGGGGTGAGAGCAAACCAGACACGGTCCCTTTTCTCATCATGCTTCCCAAAGTCAGAAACAGAGCCAAACTAAATGGCAACTAAAAAGTCCTGCGCTGAGTTACTGTAGGGGTTGTGGGGACACAGATGTCTAATTCAAACTTGGAAGAGGACAGAGAGTTTCTGGTAAGCCATGTCAACCAAACTGAGGATGAAAGGAAAGGTCAGAGTTAGCAAAGAGGGGAAAAGAAACATATCAAAGGTAGCAAGAACTGCCTTTCATACACGGAAGCTCAGGGGGAGAAAGAATATGACAAAATTAGGAATTGTCACGACATCTTCCCTAAACTCCCAGATGTTGTGTTTCATCCCCTCTTAGCCTGCTTCACACCCACTGCCCCAAGTGCCTTCTATGCAGTTTATCCTGGGGCACTCATGGACCCCCCTTGGAGGCTGCTGTGGGGGTCTCCAGAGAACCTGCCAAGCCGAGTACCCATAAGGTAAATTCTCCCAGAACTTCCTCTAGCAACCAAGACGCTGTTATGTGAAGAGCGATTCCTGGGAGAGAGCTGCCCAGGCTGCCCTACACCCAGCCAGAGGCCCAGAGGAAATAATCTGATGGCAAGGTGAGACAGAAGAGCTGCATTAGAACCATCCTTGGCTTGAGCTGGCTCCTTTTACTTCTCAGCCTTTTCAGACCTCTCCATGCACCAGGGCACCTTCTCTCTAACAGGCCTCCAGAAATCTCCATTCCTCATAGCATCTCCCTATGCAGAGTCAGAATCTATCCTTGTTTGCTGCATTGTGAAAAATTCCATAGAGACAGTGCTTGTTCTGCGGAGATATGCCCTGCCTTCCTAAGAAGCCAGAGCCTGGAGTGCCCATAGCCTCTAAGACCCACCTAGGATGACCAGGTCCATCGATGAGAGACACATCTGTGTGACCAGGTACTCTAGCCTCCCAGTCCCCTAAACTAGGCAGATGAGGACCAATCTTAGGGCTGTTTCAAGTGCTATATCACTAATCAGAACTCTAGTGACTCAAACAGCAAGGCTTGCAGATCCTTTCCCTTCTTCTAAGATGAACACAGCTTAAAGATCAGCCCTTTAATACTGTGCTCACATTCTTCAATGCCTTCTTACATAGGAGCACACACAACAGGCTCCCATCTAGCTTGTCTGGAGCCCACACTCCCTGTGCCTCTTCTCACCCATCTGAAAACTGAAGTCTGGGCACAGGTGTGGATGGAAGACCTTTGAAGATGTAACTCTCACACATGTATTAATAGGAAGAAACTCAGGGGCAACTACAACTCTAGAAGGTGTCCAAATTTGGGAATCCTGTTGCAAACTCCAGAACTACCTGCCTCTATTCCTTTTTCCTCAAGTGAGGTTCTAAGAAGAGAAAAAGAAGGAAAAGCTTCCAAGGAGAGATCCCCAAACATCATTCTCATATTCCTTACATGAATATGGGCCATGGAATGTGCTAAGATCACCCCAAGACAAAGACATTGCAGAGACTTTTGCCACAGTCAGTTGCCACAAGAACCTCAGAACTGGCCTAATCTGTGAGTTCGGCCAGATTGGGTGTCACAATTTTGCAACAAAGTAACCCCCGCAATGACTCCATCAGTGCCCATGGATCAGAGGACAGGACCAGAATGCCCATCTTTGGCTCCCTAGGCTGTATTGTCTGTCCTGCTCTGCATAGCTATTTTATTTTGGAAAATTTAATCTCATCTGAAGCCTAAAGGAATCAATCTCATATAGATATGTGTCCTATTTAACAGTATCTGCTGTGTTCTCATTCTGTTCCAACAGGAATTCCAAGACTATTCACCAGCTCTCCGCTCCTCTAAAATTCCCCACCAATTCACCATATTCTTTTCACCCAAATGCTTCCTGTCTGTTTCCTGGAGACCAGCCTCTGACTCTTTCCATCCCTACAACCCCAGTATTGAGACCAAATAAATGATGCAGAGAAAGAACCCTCCAAAAATGCATCAGTGGTCTAGGTGAGGCACACAGCTGCTCCAGGGTCAGCCTGTCGATGTCTCAGGTCCTGGAGAGAAGCTCCCAGTGCAAACCAAAGTAGAGAATCCCCTATCAGGGCCCCTGCCTTTGTCCCTCAGCCCAGAGCCTGGAGCTTGTGCTCTGAACACCTGTAGGGATGTCCCACTCCTGTTGGAAGCTTCCTCCTGTACAGACTTGCACACTGCCTCAATCCACCAGCCCAGCTGGGACCTGGAACTGTGCAACTGGCTCCCCAAGTCTCCAAAAGAGGACTGCTGTGTGTGCAGGACTGTACTTGCTTCCCCGCCCCCCAGGCTTGCAGATGCTGGTAGAAGGACTCAGATTGCCTCCCTGTACAGGTCTCCTACTCCAAGGAGGAAGAATTTTTACCAAAGGTCACCCCAATAATAAGACTATCTCCTTCTGCCCTGCAAAGTCTTCTGGTAAAACCACTGACATGGTTGCAAAGAGGAATAGGGGAGCAGTTACCAGTGGTCCCTAAATAACCACATAAACTAAGTTGGACTCGTCTTCAATAAATGAAAAACTGCTAAAATCATGGTCTTTCTCCCATTGGGCTACATGGGAAGGAGACCTGAAGGAGAAGAGAAGTGTGGTTCTGTCATGGCAGCAGTCATGTAGCCCACTGCCCAGATCCAAGGGCCCTCCCCTTCCCTGATCCCTTCCTCAAATGTGGCCTCTTGGTTCATTCCTTGGTAAGGTGTAGCCCTGTTAGCCAAGTATATCAGTCCGCTGAGCACCTTCCATGTGCCAGACATCAGCAAGGGGGATGCAGGGATGCAGGTGTGAACTCTTACCTCAGAAATACTGGTCCCCAGAGGAGAAAAACAAAGAAATCATCTAGTGTGACATGGTCTGACCCAGACAGAAGGAAGCAGGATTTCTCAGGATGGCACCCACACCACTGTGGCCCCAACCTGCTTGTCTGTCCTTCTAGAGCAGAGCCTGGCTGGGCTTTCACAGGAGAAAGGGAGAAGAGAGGGAGCTGAGAGGGAGAAGCCTGGAACAGGAGAAAAGGGAGCAGACTAGTGGTCAGTGGCTGGTAGTCAACCCAGCAAAAACAACACCTCTCAGATTACTGTCACTCCTCTACTTCCCAGTTTTGCTTCTCATACTTCCTCTAGAACCTGTTCATCACAGTCTTTCTTCAATGGTTCTGCAGAGGTGTCACATCGGAGGCATATATTGGGAAGGCTGTCAGTGGCTCCCCTACAGCGTCCAGGGACCTGGCCATCAAAGAAACAGCAATGCCTTCTCCTATAATGTTTGGCTCAATGAAGATTCTCCCCTAAACCTCATCTCTTCCTTGTGCTAAATACTTCTATAAATGATTCCTTTCATCAATGGCCGCATTTCTTCTCTGTGTGATGGTGGGCCCCCAAAACATCCCCAATCAGCTAAATACCTACTAGGCACTTTGTTAGCTTCCTAACGTGACTGTCAAAAAACAACAACATAAATTTAGGAGCTTTAAGGCACACAATTTATTATCTTACTGATCTGGAGGTTAGAAATCCAAAGTGAAGCTCAGAGGACTAAATGCGAGTAGTCAGGGTGATGTTCCTTCTAGGGGATCCAGGGAAGAAACTATGCTTTGCTTTTTCCCGTCTCTAGAGGCTGCCTGCATTCCTTGGTTGGTGGTCTCTTTCCATCTCAAACCAGCAATCTGACCAGTCCAGCCTCATCTGCTATCATCTCCTTCTCTGACTATCTTGACCCTTCTTTCAGCTATGAAGTTCATTATTCTGGGCTTTACTGGGGGCTTTTATATTGAGATCTTATTTGCGTAATCTCCCAATCTCAAGACCCTTGTATGACTTCACTAGGGCTGCCTTAGCAAAGTACCCTAGACTGGGTGGGCTTAAATGGAGAACTTTATGCTCTCAAAGTTTTGGAGGGTAGAAGTCCAATATTAAGGTACCAGCAAGGTTGATTTCTTGTGAAGTTTCTCTCTCTTTGGCCTATAGATGCCATGTCCTCACATAGGTTCATGTGGTTCTTCCTCTGTGTGGGTCTGTGTCCTAATTTCATCTTCTCGTAGGAACACCAGTCAGGCTGGATTAGAGCTCACACTGGTGACCTCCTTTTAACTTAATTACCAGGTTAAAAACTGTGCCTTCAAGTGCAGCCACCTTCTGACTTGCTTGGGGTTAGGAATTCAAACATGAATTTAGGAGAGATTCAGTTCTGCTCTGACTCACATCTGTAAAATTCCTTTTGCCATGTAAAGCATTCACAAGTTCTAAGTATTTGGACATGGAGAGATATCGATTTTTTAACAATAGCAACAACAACAAAATACAACATTTTGGCAACTAGCTGCCAGTTCGTATCTTTAACATTATTGTAATTATTAGACATCTTAACACCAGACTAATTCACATATGCACATTTTCATTAAGAAGTTTGCTCAAAATCGTAAACAAGACCTTCACAGCATTCAAGTAAGAACCTCAAGTAAATCACTCTGGAACAGAAACTACCTTTTTCTGCGGTTCTGGGAAGAGGGAAGAAAGGCCCATTGAAGGTGCCTGCAGTCATCTCCTACCCACTGGGAAAGGGTGCGGCTGCTTTCTGGGACTGGGCTTAGCAACCAGACTAACGAATGGCAGCAGATGCAAGCCAAAGTCAAGCCCAGAACAGCTGTGTCCCAGTTCTCTGCAACAGAAGGATGACAGGAAATGAGGCCGGGTTCCTGTG